GATTGTTCATTGCACGTTCTCTGAAGACCAAACATCAGATTTTTCACCAAGGCATTGCAAAAACCAAGATTTGAATTTCCTTAGGACTAGACCTTGGTGTTTGTCTCCAATCTTGCATCAGGAGAAGTGTTTTAAGTTACAGCTACAGCTCCATTGAAGAAATTGATGCAAGTGTTGTTGATAGTTTTTGGATGTATTTGGTTAAAAGTCATTTAGATTTTATTGTAGTCAATAAGTAGTTGAACTACCCTTGCCTTTTAGGTAGGTTTTAAGTGAACCAACCTTCTTTGACTTATGGAAGTTGGGGTGAACAAACTTTAGAACTAGCTCTAACTAGCTCTACTATAAATGTTTACATTATGCTGTAATGGAAAATATAAGAAGTGAATATTTGTTTCTTCACACTTACAAAATCTGCAGCTTTTTTTCATTTTCTGCAGAATTTCCTTTTCTTTCTTAATTTTCTGCTCTTCTAAACCAACATCAGGCTCCTCTTTGTAATTGAAAGCCTCATCAAATCCAAAATTGTTCTTCAATAAATCAACCTAAATTTTACATGTTAAATTTATGCAGCATCTATAATTTCACTTTGAACATTTTGAGTTTATGTTCAAATGAGCTACACGGAAGTTGCAGCAATGGTGAAGCCACGCCAAGCCTCTCGCTAAACCAACAGTATTAGGATATTCTCCCAAGTACCACATCGAATAAAAAGGAGAAGAGGAACCAAAATATAATGGTTCAAACCCAACCCACTAGTATGAGCTTTTTTGAGAGGTGCCCAAAAACAAATCCGTGAAAGCTTGGCTTAAGCGAATAATATTATATTAATTCGGGTTTGGGTGGTACGCGCCGTCCTATCAAACAGCAATTTTCATTCTTAAAGGCCATTGCAGAGTCTTTCTTTTGTCTTCCGTTGAATGTAACCAATCAAAAAGGTTTCCATTTGATAAGTACTTATACACGAGAAGCCTTTTATTTGTTCTTTGCAGAATCCGAGGAGTGGAAGTAAGTTGTCATTAATTTATTAATTTATTTAAAAAAATTTTATTTTATATAAAATTATTATATTTTGTTTTTGCTTAAGAGTTCCATTATATTAATATACATAAAATTATTGTGAATATATAGTAATTAAGATATTAAATTTACTATGTTTGATTTATTATATTTTGCTTGACATTTTTTTTAAATTTTTAATATTTATACATAATTGCATTACCTCTTTGCTATTTATCATTCCATTATTATCGATCAAAATAAATACATAAATAAATACACAATGGAATACATCAACCATCGTCAACCAATACGGGTGAAATTGTTTATTGCATCTAATGATGTGTATACGGTTGGTTTAATTCAATTATATTAAATTAATTTGAATGAAACCAAATTTAATAAAAATTTATCAAGAACCTAATTAAATTGAGTCAAATCAGTTTGATTCAAGTTGATTTTAGTTGGAGTTTTGATCAAGTTTCTTTAGTTTTTTTAGGCTTCAAACTGAATTGTGCCAAAAGAATTTTTGATTTTTCATCATTAATCAAAATACAACCGGATAGAAAAATAATGAACCAATTCAAATCGAATAATTGATAAGATATAGTTTGATTTTTTATTAACCCAACTATTTGCCCCAACCCCAATTACATCTTTTAAACATGGGCTAAATACATATCTCTATACTTTATTAAAAAAAATATAACCATTTCAATTTTTATTTTGACGCATTAAATAATTAAATTTATAAAAATAAAATAACAAATTAGACACTTTAATTTATAAATTTTTTCTATTTTTAATTAATTAAAAAATTTAAAAATTATCGTATTAAAAATTATGATAATCAAACGTTAAATCATTAATTCTCTCAAACCCATCATCAAAATTTAACAAAAAGACAAAATAATAAAACATAAATTTATTGGGAAGTAGATGAAACTGCCAAGAGCTTTAAATTTAATGTGTGGGGTAAAGAATACAATTGACGTAATGAATGATATCTTGAACCGTGTATAAAATATCATAAATTTTGAATGAATAATTACAAAAAAAAAAAAAAAACCAAATAGACGTTATGATTGCTAAAATGAATATATCAAACCCTTTTTCTCCGCCCCCTCTTGGCCTTGGTGAAAGGGTAATCATGCTTGCTTATCTATCAAGTATGAAAAATAAATTGTAGTCACTGTAAATAAGACCATTTGACATCTCAATTCATAACTTGTACTTGCATTCTTTTTGAAGACAGAAAAAGAAAAAAATTCTTTTTGAAAAAAGAAAAGAAAACGAAAGACCTGCCTGGTTGTCTATTTCTCTATATAAGGAGTTATGATGATTACCTACCAATGCAGAAAGTCAAATCAAACTCTACTGCTTTGAAGTATCCATACCGTAAAGTCGGTGGACAATGACCGGGAATATCATTTTCGTCTCACAAACTTATTAACACAAGTAAAAATTAAAATACACTACTCCTTTTTATAAACAAAAGTCATTTCAATAATTTTTTTTATAAATAAAATATTAAGAAATAATTAATAAATTTTTTAAATTTTACTTTATATATATTACATATATTTAATTTTTAATTTTACTTTATATATATTTACATATATTATTATTATAATATAAAATAATGAATAATTTAGTTAAATTTTTATTAATAATATAAAATAAATGATAATTTAGTTAAATTAATAATTTTTTTACTATTATATAGATGAAATCGTTTTTTAAATCAACATATGGAAACTTTAGATAATTTTCACTTGTGAATAGAAAAAGTATTACATTCGTTCCAATAATTTTAGCATTCAACTTTTTCATAATAATTGAGAAAATATTTTAACTATCTAATTCTATATAAAATAAAGGTAATTAACTAAATTACCTTTTAATTAATTATTTGTAATTAAGAGAGAAAATTTGCTTGAGATACTTAAATAATAGTAAATCAAAATAAAATTAATAATTATATTTATTTTCTAAAAGTGTTGTTTTTTATTTTGGAAGAGTCAAAAAGTGTTGTTTAGTGAAAAAAAAAGGTTAAAAAAAATCAAAGCAAGGTAGTAGTAGTAAAAGGTGGATGTCAGAACTTTCGATTTCTTTTCTTTTCGTAATTAAAGTGATTTTAGTTTCGTAAATAATGGGAAATTAAAATTCGTAAAAAAAACTATCTTTTGATTTTAGTTTTGGTTGATTCGTAAAAAAAACCAAAACTCTAAGCTAAATTGCATAGACCAGATAAGTATTAACAAAGATTATTTTTTGGTAAAATTAAAAAAAAAAAAAACCTATGAAATATCAACAAAGATTAATACTTGTTATACATATTATTATTTAATTTTTTATATATATTTTCTTAATAATTTTTATTTTATGACATCATATTATAAATCATTTATATTTTAAAAATCGAAAGGCATAATTATATTTTATGATGAGATATTTCAAAATGGAGTAAAATTTAATGACTTAAAAAGAAAAATTAAACTATCTTTTGATTTTTACAATACTTTTTAAAAATACTTTTTTTATTTGTTACCGAGTTAAGAATGTAGCTCTATTACTGAAAGTATACTTCCAAAATAAGGAAAATCTAACTAAAATTTATAATGAAATGACCTAAAAAGAAAAATTAAATAACTCAATAAAAAGTCAATAAGAATAAAATAATTAATACCTCTACAATCAAGAAGGAAATGATCGTTTTTTTTTTAACTCTAAAACTAAAGTTTTAAATAAGATTAATACTATTTTTTTTTCTGCACACACATTTTGCTTGTTGGTTTGTATTACATAAATTTTACTTTGTGTTATAAAATTTGTTTTCATTTTAATAAGATTTCTTGCAAGACTGATACAATAACGGACGTTTGGTTAATAAAAAAAAAAGAAAATCAATTTCCAAATAATATTTTCTTTAAAAATGACTTTTTTGACCATAAAAATATTTACCACTGATTTATTTTTCCGAAGGTATTAAACAAAGAAAAATTATGAAAAATTTTTTTCCGTAATTTATTTTATAAAAATAAATAGAGCTTAAATAAACTTTCATTTACTGTACTACAATAATAAATGGGGAAATAGAAATATATATATGGACTTATTGCCAAAGACGATATATATATTATATTATATATATGTGGACTTATTGCCAAAGACGAGTAATAGCTCTGCGAAGCTCTCTCCCTCTGGAAAACCGTGTCTTTGAAAATTGCCTGGCACCTACTAGCGATAAGTGAGAAGAGTGTGCGTGGTGAAGAATGACTTTTTCATATTGAATTCGATAACCACCATGATTAATATTTTATTAATATTGTTAAAATATTAGTTGACTTGTCAACTCATAGAGGAAGGAAATTAAGAGGAAAAAACGAAAGATAATCTTTGCCGTCTAAGGATTCTTATTTTTTAAAACTCTTTGCAATTTTAAAAAATCGAACGTATATTCTCAATTTTTTCATATTGAATTCGATAACCACCATGATTAATATTTTTAAAAAATATATTTATTTGATCTATAGACATTTTGTAGGCAGCTAATTTCTTGTATTATATGTATATGTATTTGAGCTCAAAAAAACGAAGATAAAGCAATAATAAAGCTACGGACATGGCTGACAAAGAAATACTTCTATTATTGTATTTAACTTTTTCTTTGTTTTGCTTCTGTCACGCTTCAACCAATTATACACAGCTCAAACAAGGTGATATGCTCAACTTTTCCGATCAGCTTGTTTCAACAAATGGGCTTTATGCTTTAAGATTCTCTGCTTTAAGATTCTCCGGCAAAATACCTAGCAATAAATTGCACCTACGTGACACACCGAGGGCGGTGAATCTAAGCGACCCATGCTGTCTGGTTAGCCAACAGAGACAAGCCATCGCCGAAATTCTAGTTATCTTACTGTAGATGATGCTGGGGAATTAATAATCAAAGCATGCCTGATGGCCAAATTGAGTTGTTATTAGGTCCGTTTTTTAAATTGAGTTGTATTCAGGTCCGTTCGCTTCCCCTGAAAATTTGACAGCTGAATTAGAAGATAACGGTAACTTTGTGCTGAAAGCGAATTCCGGCGGCCAGACACAAATATTATGGGAAAGCTTTGATAATCCGACGGACACGCTTTTGCCTGGAATGAAATTAGGGTTTAACAGTAAGAAAAATAAAAATTGGTCTCTCACATCTTGGCTAGGTGAAGAAACTCCAACGCTTGGAGCATTTACTATGGAGTGGGATTATATAAAACGCGAAATCATCGTTAAACGGCGGGGAGTTATATTTTGGACTAGTGGGACCTTGACTTCTGATGAATCATTTGCAAACATTCCTTTTCCAGATCCGTACAACCATAACTATAGGTTCGATATAGTTTCAAATGGAGAAGAGGAATCTGTTAGCTACCGGCTTTATTTTATTGAGTTCACTCCTGTTGAGCGGAGAAATATTTCCAGGTGGTTTTTAGATTATGATGGAAGCATACGGGACGCAGGGAGGCCAACAATTTTGTCTTCTGCAACTTGCGACGGATATATAACAAAATATGGATGCGTGAAATGGGAACTCCCGAATTGTAGGAACGATGGTTCTAAATTCGAATTAAGAATTTCTAACTATCATTCGGATGATGTCGCATATGATGAAAATCAGAGTCTTAGCTTCAGTGACTGTAAAGATCTATGCTGGAAAGACTGTAATTGTACTGGAATTCGGAATCATGTGCTAACTGGATGCTCATTCTATCGCGGACCTTTTGATTTCACAGGTTTGACAGGGAATGAACCACAATTTTATGCGATTATCCCTGGTCCCCCGCGTCCCCCTCGTAAGTATTACCTAGATAGTTTAGATTTAAATAATAATTGATATTTATAATTGGTTGCTGTTGTCAATGAAAGTTTGTATGGCTCTGCTGAATTATCTACAGTTAATGAGGTTTGGAAATGGATAGTGATTGCTTTAGCAATTGTTGTGTTCGCGGCATTAGTGGGCATATTTCTGTATTTGCGATGGAAAAAACTCGAACAAGAAGGTATATTTACCTTATGTCATTCATCCAATATAAATATTCTTAGCATTGCTCAAACTGAATTCCAAGTTTCTAATTTTTAATCTTTCTGAAAACAATCAAACAGAGAAATTTCTAAAAGAACTCTTGACGTCAAATAGACCAAGCGATGCAAATGAGCTTCAAAATAGCAGTAACATCGGCCATAATTTGCAACTATATAGCGTTGCATCCATAAGAGCAGCCACCAATTCTTTCTCATTGCAAAACATGTTAGGATATCGACTCTGATACCAGTTGTTGGGCATCAGCTCTGATACCACTCGTTGGGCCCTTTAACCAATTAAGAGAAAAT